CCTATGGCGGCGGCGCATCATCACTCTAGCTCTGAAGGGTAGAGTGTACAATGCAGCGATACGTTTGACCTTACTGTAAAATTGCAAAGCCTGGCCCCTTAGCTCAGCGGACATAAAGTGGCTGGTTACGTTTGATCATCGGTGCCTTCGCAATTTAGCTCATATCTGGTGGGAACACTGATTGGACAACAAACGTGTTCGGCGCCTTGTTTATGGCGCAGGAAGAGGAAATGAACTGCTCAGCACCGTTCTTTCACTCATCAGGCTCCGATGGCTCGGCCACGTGTTACGCATACCAGCCCACCGATTCCCGCGACATGCGTTGTTTGCTCGCCGGGGGTGTGGATGGAAGAAGAGGAGAGGTGGCCAAGCGATAACTTGGTCGAGAGGAATGAAGGCCCTCACTTCTGAGCGGGCCATGGTTGGAGCGTCTCGGCTCTCTTGTTGGGGTCCGAAAGAGGATGAATACGTTTGGCCGGATACACTTGATGACATGGCAAGGAGCCGACCTCAACGGCGTTCGTGCTGTGAGTTTCTTTGTCCATCATCATCCCTCTTAGCCTCCCACTTCAATCACGATCTCACTATTTAGCCTCAAAAACTTTTGCATAGTAATATTTTTACTGCAAAGTAGCCAGCTGGTAGTTTACTGGAACGATGCCCATCTGTTACCGGTAGCTCAGCTGGCTTGCACCTGCTGTGTTTTCCCCTTTTTTTCTTTTAGGTATTGCGGCACAGTAGATGATGTGTTTCCCACCTCTAGCTAACGTGTACGATACATAATACATATGTACCTAGTTTAACCTAATACTCTTGCTCTATTTACACATTTATCGGGAGTTTGGCTTGGTTGTTTTGGCCATCTGGAGGAAGAAAATCAAAACGCGGTTCCATAAGCTGGATCGTAGTTGGAAAACACAAACTCACACACTAGGCAAACTGCAACCTAGCACTCATATTGCGGGTGCTGTCATCTGCCGGTTTGCAATCCCACAGTTACAAAACACCTGACAAATAACACCTGAAAACCTCATTCATGAGCATGACGCTTCTGTGTATTGATCTGGCCGTCTCTGGTTCAAGCTTTCACAGACGAGAATGTACACTTCTTCTATCCTCTAGCAAATACGCTGACATGCCTTCCAAATCGGTCTCAAATATGGTTGAGAAGTTTTGTTAGTGTGGTTGGGGAGATGCAACTTTATTGTAGTGAATTCAAGCCTCAGATAAAACTGGTTAGTCAACATGAACCATTTAATAGCCCCTATAAACTTGGATGATTTCGTCGAAATTGGGGAAGATGCTGATGTCGACTGACTGGACTTCCCAAAAGGTTGTAGCCCACCATTCTTTATAGGATTCAGAGCTGTTTGCTCGATGATACCGTGGCGGGGTAAAGAAATTTCTTTTTTTCAAAGGCGTCTGAAACCAAAGGCTGCTATAACCTGGTCAACCAGACAATACCTCAGTCTGGCGTCTCAGAAGGTTGGGTATTAAAGTCATGTGTGTTCCTGGTTTTCATGAAGCATTTATGAGGGCAGTCATATCAAAGTGTGGGCCGGCTCCGTTGATGAAACGTGGTTCCCATCCGCATGCCTCCCGGTCTTATTCCTTCGGGTTTACACTGGATATGGGGTATGTGGTTGGAGCTGTGGGTGGTGCAGCGCAAGCCATCCATGGTCCCTCTGTAGGCGCAGGCGTCCTGTGGCTTGCCACAGTGACAGGCAAATCCGAAACCGGATGCCGCCAACCATATCAAAGTTATCAATCTTTCCCATTAATCAGCATCTGTAGGTTATCAATGTAACAGACAACCACAAACAGTGCACTGCGCTAGCAACGAGACTTGGAGATGCGAAATTCAAACAGATTCCAGTTTAAAACGGATAAGTGCAAGGTGTTTGATACATGTCACCATAGCACTCACGGGTACTTGTTAAGAAATCACCTACTGCAGCCTGCTTCCCATGAAAGCCTTCTTGGGGTGCTTGTGTAGAACGAACGTGTGTGCACTTGACAGGCGGAAAATGCATTAAAAATAGTTAATCGACACAGACTTATTGAAGGGGCATTACGGCGACTCGACCTTTCCACCCTTCGGCACGTCTCCCTGGTCGACGTCCTTGGCTAAACATGAAACTCAAAATCGAGAGCAACTAAAAGACAAGGATTCGTACTATCCCTCTTACCAGTTTAGACCTAAATCCTAACAGAGGCGACTTGTGGAAGTTATTAAAAAATATCAAATCTGCATGAACATGAACGACTTCACGACCTGTTTAATCATGCCTACACTGCACTTCTGGAATGACAACAGTCACAGTTATCCATCTATCTATCCATCTGTTTCAGTCGCCCGTAGTTGCGTCTTTGGGATCGGAAAGATTTATGCATGGAATCGGATGTGAATATAAATACAAAAATGAATACTTGACAGGCGATGCTGGGCTTAGGGAACAGTGGATCCTATAGGACTGTTGCATGCGAAATAGCCTCCGCATAATTGAAATGTGGTCTTCAGCCTACTGTTGTGCGCAAATTAAGGAGTATTCTCTGTATCAGGTGACTCATTTATTTCTCATAGGCAGAGCAAAACGAATGCGAAAACGAATGAACCTCATTATGTGAAATCAAATACATCTTAGTATAATTCAATCAAAACGGAGGTTAATATCTTTCAACAGAGAGTGGTGAAGTGCCCCGTGTTCAGTGATATACATAAGGCAAATGCTGGGGAAGATGCGAGTTTCAAGCATACACCGGATTTAGTAGTCGGTGCCTCACCGCAACGTACTTAACCTGGGATATCTGTTTGCAGTCTGAATTTAACCAGGTATGTGTTCTAGGATTTTCCCCGCAAGTTGTCACAACTGAGCGGAAGAAAGGAGCCTAGCGGAAAGTTGGTTAAACACTCTCGGTTGCCACTGCATATGAAATTTATCAACGCGGAGAGAGTGGGGACCTGCTAACATTCCGATTTTTATCGTCAGTCGCAGCGCAATACATGCATGAAAACTTACACATTTAGATATCGGAGTCCCCGAAACTGCTTAAAATACTGTTAGTTAAAGCGGCTTGTACTATTGCTGCGGTTTCTGCAGCGTTTGGCAAATTAGTTTGTCGTCTCATCTTGTGGGTATCTAGCCTCTAAGTTACTTGTATCTCAACAGTCAGGAATGAGCCTCAGGCAAGTGGCTTAATGGTTTTCGATGCATTTGGCTTCACAATCCCGGTCTCGTCCTCAACAACCCAATTCAATCAAATAGTCCTTACTTTACTCACTTGCTTGATCAAAGATCTGCAGTTTAATGGCAAGCGTCTTTGCATTTCTTTACCATTAAAAGAGTTCTGACAGCCTACTATTAGGTATCAAACTACCCGATTGTTTGAATGTGCTATATCCATTCGGGATACATAGCAGTAATTTTTTTCTATCCACCATTTCATTTGTTTGCTCGAGTGCTCAAACTATTAGTATTTCCATAAGGAACGTATCAACAGGGGTAAACAGAGAGCGAAACACTATTCACGAAATTTTTTCTAGTTCACGATACTTACTGGTCTGCTGAATATCGGGATAGCATGTTTCAAACAAGTTCGGCTGCCATTGTGTCGAATATATTTGCAGCTGCAGTATTCACTGGTTTTGTTTACATACTTGCTTAACAAAGTGTAACACAGAAGCGCTGGCTGGTCGGGATTGACGCATTGTTTTATTTATACGTCCATCGCTTACCATTATAAAACAAAGTAGGTACTGCGTCGAGGGACCTCTCAGTCCACGCTTTATGGCCTTGGCGTCAAATGACCTCCACCGAAACCGGTACTAATTAAGAAGTATGAGAGTTATGAAAGATCTACAGGCTACCTCATACAACTTCTATGTCAAAACCTGGAATATTAATTTTAAGAATTTGAATACTAAGCATCATTTATATGCACACTTAGAAGATTGCTGAGCAAATAAATGAGGAGATTTGTTAGTAGAGATCCAGACAAACATGCCACTGCCAGGCATACATCCAAGCACAGAAGAGCCAACATTAGGTTAGTAACTGTCATATGTATTGACGCAAAAGCGCTTCTCGTACAGTTTTAAACCAGCTACTGCCTACCATCGCTGCGACGTAGAAGTGCCTCTTGTTGGGCACTCTAATGGGTCATCCTAATTGTCGGACTCAACAGGTGTTGGACCGTCGCACGGCCATGGTACTACCTAGTTAAGGCCAACAAGGATCAACGGCTGGATATGGCTTGCCCAAATCCAGGCAACTGTTCTAAAGCTGGTAGCGATAGAGTTGAACAGCGCGCCTGTTACAGATTACACTGGGTTGATCTGTCCAGGTTCAGTGTTTGTCTGTAACCGGTTGGGACCAGATGGTAGTGGGCGCCTACCGTTCATGCCATTGAGCCGGCGTCCATTAGTAATGCAAATGGAAAGCTGATTCTCACTACCGCTTGTGGGTTTTTAAATAAGTCAGTGTTGGCAAACTAAATTGAATTCTGTAGGGAACATCCACGTATGACCACAAGAACAGCGTGCAGTAAACAAATATATAATAGGTTGAAGTCAAGTGAGCCTTAAATTTCTCGCAAGTTGGTGAGTGTTGAGGCGGTTTTCCATAATGTTCGCCGAAGTATGCAGCATTCTCCTGTTATTCATCCAAGCAATTCTTAACCTTACCTTCTTTACTCCGTGGATAATTTGTTTGATTACTTTGTTATTGTCCATCTATTGAACTATTGATAGCCTGCTTAGCCGTATTTCACAAAACTGAGCAAAGGCGTCAACAGCATGCCGGTAGACTGCATCAACCATTCAGCGCGACGCGATCACTAACAGTTGCGCACAGGCGCTAAGGATACTACGAGGTCATCTGCACCTACATGCACCGGCCGATACCTTTCAACACTACAATCGCATCACATACAAAAATAAGAAATACAAGATGAAGTTTGTGACAAAAGCCCCATGTCTGTGGTCTGCAGAGTAGCATAATCGCGATGTGAACACACTTTATTGAGAATATCCAAATTTCTCAAAACTGCTGCAATAGGTTATCTTTTAGTTTTGAAGAGACCAGTTAGGTTGCGTAGTACGCCCTTGTTGTCCGGGTCTCTGGGTCGATTTGTGCGGACTATTTTCGGACGCACAGATTTGAGAATACTCTGCTGTTCATGCCGTAAAGGTGGAATATAGAGAGCGTTGGGATCGCAAATGGAAGCATTGGAACAGGCATTGAGATAATTGGCGAGAATCTGGGCTGCTTTAAATTCATGTCTTCCCGCAAATGAGATAGCGGCCTCTTTTAATGCGTTGGTAAGGGAACGACTGAGCAGAACCGGCGGACCTATGGAAAAGTTATTGAGATCAAGTGCAGGATTACGTTTCACAGTTTGGTGAGCGTAAGCCACCTCCACGATGGTAGGAATACGGGCTGCAAACAGGCCGTGTTGCTCGGCATGGAAGTAATCCACGGTGTAACATGACGCAGTCAATGCATCGTCATAATACCCATTGTCATTGCACATACGTGCCATGAGATACACAAGTTGACACCAGTACGGTTCTTCACGCGGCAGTAGATCTTCTAGCATGTATAAAGCTTGCTGCATTAATCGAATACCCTCTTGGTGAAAACCCCACAACATTAACTTTTGCCCTACTTTTGCATACTGCCGTGCGACGGTCTCTCTATTTTTCGGTGCATCGGTGTGTCTCTCCATTAAGTCTAGTGCTTCGTGAGCAAGTTTTGGAGCCATGTCAAAATCCTTCATTGCACCACGGGTGATAGCAAGACACAGCATGGTAGCGGCAACAATTGGGTGATTGGAGCCATAGGAAGACTTTCGGAGCTCAATAACTTTCTCTAGTAGAGCAGCACATGAAGAGAAGTTCTCATTTTCATAAAACTTTCTCGCAACTAGTTCCAACAAAGAAGCGTGTGTGGGTGCGTCCTTGACATCGTTCAAAGGCAAAGACAAAACCCTCTGCATTATATTTGAGGCGCATTCGTTCTCACTGTTTATTAACATAGGTTGTATATGGTCGCTCAACGAACACGCATACTCCGAATGCCACAATGTATCGTAGCGTAACGTTTCGTTCCACGTCTCAGCATCGCTCTGGTACAGCTCCAGATCGTGATCTTTTTGCCCAAGAGAGCACAGCAACTCCCAGTACTCTGCTTCTTCATTGGCCGCAGCTAATTGACCTTCAGCGTCAGAGATTTCTTCCAATAGATGCGCCACACAAGCCTTTAGGTCATCGTTGTCTGCGGAAAGCCGACGTATTTCGGACCTTTTCTCAGTCAGCTGCTGTTCAACGTTAGAAAAACACTCTACGGCCTTGTGAAGAAAGACTGCAGATGCCGCGGACATTTTGGATTGCTGTAAGAGCAAGTGTTCTCCAGGGGCACCAGATGGATTTTCGCTTACGAACTGGGGCTTTGTTAGCTGTCCGGAGGTTTCTTCTAAGTGCAACGCAGATCGGACTTTATCAGCAACTTTCTGTAGCCTAACATGTGCCTCACTAATAGCATGCAGCAATTCTCGATGCATTTGCTGTTGAGCAACTATTTTGTGAGCATCTGAATGTGTTACTAAGGCCATACTGAGCCCATTGTCATACCATTGCTAGTTGCAGATGTGAAGAACATGGAGCTGCAGGGCTGGTAAAGTAATATGAACCCATTGGTCATCGATCGATGGAGTATTTTCAAATGCATGTGGGAAACTTATGCTGCATGGCGCAAGTGGCACAGATTCACCAAGTTCTGAAAGCATCCATGAGAACTCACCAAATATGGGCGCACTTGAGTTAGGCGAATATATATATATATGTATATATATATATATGTATATATATATATATATATCTTGTATGAATCAAAAGAAAAGCTTTGTCTTGAGCACGATAAATTTTAAAGTGAGTGGCGACAAGTCGGCACAAAATAGGTCAAAGTCAAAACGCATGGCAAAAAGGAAAACAGGAGAGGATATAACTTTCCCATATCGGCAGAATTTGGGTCAACTGAAGAGGAGACTTCACGAGAATTAACTGAAAAATAGGCCAATGGATAGAAAGAAAATAAAGTGTTTCAGAACCGGGACATATTGACGATATTCGCCTGTGATCGGCTATGATGACTTCATAATTAGATCACTTATGTGCCTACCAAACTAGTAAGATGTAATCCATGTCCCACTATAACTGTAATGAAAAAAGTCGTTTGGGAACATTTGAGTATTTTTAGATTTAAGAAGCTGAATGATAGCATTCATAAATAAGGAAATAACTCTGAAAATATAATGAAATGCACTTTATGTTGCAATGTGAATTCACGTAACGGTGAACTCAAGCAGTTTGCGTAATATTTTACAGGCTTCTCGATCCCATTAGTTCATACGGGTAGGCAACAGTATTCAATGGAAATCTTTTGAATTAGGCAATTTATGCATATCTTGCCTAGAGCATACTCCACGAATATGTGTACAGCGGATTTTCACAGTGTCACTACATTGGTGACAGGCGTCAAAGGGGCTGAGTTGTAGTGGCTCTGATAAGTTTTGAATGGCAAGATCATTGTTCCAGTTAACCAGCTGAGTAGAATGGATAGGCTTGCCTGTTTTAGCTTTCTGAGCACTTGAAGCTAAGCAAAGTGGATCGTATACATTTATCTCCGCAGCTCTCTCATATGGTATAAACGAAGCGTGTTTCATCTTTGATTCCAAAAGTCGTTTCCAGCTGTTACTTGAATACCAGTAATTACGTTTCCCGAGTGACTTAATGAATAGGGACGATAGTCTACTCGAATTATCCGTAAAAAATAATTCAGAGTTGCATTTGAAAGCAAGTGGCTTGGTGCCAAATGAACTCGAGATAGACGGTGTGGTAGCAATCACTTGGGTTTTGCCGGAATTGGTTGCATGAAGACTGCTGAACACAGAGGGCGTCGAGCGTGTTTTTATTAATGAGTTTTCAGATACCATTTGCACCACTGAAACCGTATTATCATTAGCCTGAGACATAAATTTTTCTCGGGCTCGATCAATACACTTCCGATATGCCATTTCACTGGTTTCCATACTGCCTCCATGGTGGCAATGCAAAGATCGTTCCAGTGAGGAGAGCAAGACGGTTGGACGACACAGCGTTTGTCCGACATTGGTAGTAGCATTCTGTGGAAAATGGAAACAGATGGTTTACTGAACCCATAATTGTAGAATTGACTACACCGAATGATAAAAACAGATCTTAATGAAAATGGCATAGACGAGCCTGTGCATATGTTTGGCGTTATATGCATAGTCGAATGTCGTTGGAAGAACGACCAGTGTTGGATAAGCCGACGTTGACAGAAGCTTTTGATCAGAGCTAACGGCTGTGTTGGGATATTATCTTATATCACCTGGATTTGGTGCATTCGTTGTGATTTGAGTGTAACTGTTATCCCCCATAGAGTTGGAAGCGACTGTTACATCATATTCCTCAATCCATGTTTCCTACAAATTAAAAATTTAGGATTTTACATCGCAATATGAACGTTCAGAGAGTAATTCAAAGAATAACTATGAAATTCTAATCTTTGTGGTAGGCGAATTGTTAATCGAAGGGCGTTGGTCTGCAGACGCTATCTAGGGTGTTTAAGTCCCAACTATTTCTAGCATCATCACCCAAGTAAGAACGGCCAGGCTGGGGGCTTAAAGTGCTTGAGATCGACTACGAAGAAAATGTTCACCACAACTTATGTGCCATTACGCAGTCGACATGTTGGATATTCTGTGAAGAGGTTTTTCTGTGACATATAAACAGAGTTAAAATAAAGTTAATTTAATCTACCCACAAATGTGCTGCAGACACAAGTTAATATCGCCACCGCTTGATATTTTGAACAACAACCAGTAGGAACACAGAGATCCAAAAACAAAAATTAAGTAGCATCAGAATGGAAGAATAATCAGTGGAAGACAAGCGTGAGTGCAGCTAACTTCCCTATGATGCTCTCTGTGCAACTGAGTAACTAACTAAGGTTATGTAGGTGATCGTGATGGCTTTGATCCATTAACAACATTTACCGGTATAGTACAGCTTTCGTTAAATTATTAACTACCTATGTCTTGTCATCGCTCAGCAGCCTTTCGGATTTAATTACAAGGCGCAACTTCGGCAAACACATCATCCGAGAAAGGTTGATGGATGCAAAGTGCTGAAAGAGTACGGCTTCTCGAGCGCAGGCTTTTGGAGCTCGCGTATATTGGTCACTAAACCATCTATCCGGAAGACCAGAACAAACTGGGCCAAAGCTCAAACCCAGCTGATGCCCAACGGTCAGATTGCAACACACCGGAAAGATATCGAACAACAGACTAGTGACGATTTGATACAATTCCTATGATCCATCCAACGATAACCTTAAGTAACATCAGTTTCTGGTGGTACCAAGTGAGTTGACTACGAATATGCAATGTAAATGTTTCTATCACGTCGGATTTTTTAAGTTCAACTTTCAATCTCATCCGAGCAGTGCGCACCGTGCATCAAATACACGCCTGTTCTTGGTTCATTGGCTCCCTGTAGTCGTGGAAATGAAGTCTTCTTGGCCATGGTATCCACAAGATACGGAATGCCGATTGACAGCTGTGTTTCCTTAATTGGTATCGTGATCATGGCCGAAAAGCGCTGCTGCATCAATGACCGAAAGCATTTTCGTTACTTCTGTGGACAGTTTACTACAAAGTCGCAGTGCAGACTCATTTCTTCACTAGTAAAGTCTGCCTACCACGCATGTTTCGGGATGAAACTGACCTATCAGGATAAGAAGTGGAGGCTGCACATTTTTTATGTCGTACAAACTTCATCTGACTCTGTTCCTCAAGTGCAAAGGCAAGATGCTCTATGCAATGCCCATGGCGTGGAAAGAGCAGAAGGATCACGCGACAGACTACTGCCTCTGTCTAACCAGTGTCAGTGGAATTTGCAACCGAAACAAGGACAAAATCATTACCCCAATCTTTCGACCTGTTCCACATGGTTGTATCTCACTTATTCCATTGTCGCCGGTGAACATGTCACTGACGAAGAGTAACAATTCTGCTTTTCAACCTCCCGTGATGCTGACATCTGTAAAACTTTTGAACTTGATATTGTCAATACACAATTTATTGAACAATCAGAGCTGGATGACTTGGTACGTTACCTGGGCTTGCCTGAAAACAAGGCCCAGTTGCTGGCAAATCGATTGCAGCAGTGGCATCTATTTGGCCTGATATTTGCCAGATAACAGCAGAGAGTGCTCTCGAATCTCAGTTGACTTCATCTGAGTTAGAAGCTCGGCGATCATTCAAGGCAGTGTGTAAAGAATTTTGGGCAGAACGAAGGCTAACTACAAAGACACCACAAGAAACCTCATTACGGACTATCGGACTGCTGTTGCTCGAATGTCACTCAAGATGCACTTTTTGCATCATCAACTTAAGTTTTTCCCGAACACTTGGGATCTGTTAGAGATGAGTATGGTGAGCGCTTCCGCTATATCTGTCATGCAGCAGCTCTACGGTGGCAAGTACACACCTTCTATGACGGGTGACTTCTGCTACTTTCTGCAGCGTGAGGGCGCTGGATAATACCACTGAGGATCTGGGCGAAGCCATCATTTCCCAGTGCCAAGCTGCAGTCAGTAGTTAGCGACGAGTGCTGCAGTGATGTTTTAAACATATTTGCCACATAGATGCATTCAGTATATGTTGCGATTCAGTACATTTAAAAGTAATTCGTACGACTTAGCCCTGACATTATTGAAAATAAGCAGTTGTTTATAACAATATAACCTGGCGTGCTAGGTAACGTCGGAATACATGTCTATGCTCAGTGTAGTGTATCCTATAAGGTAGGAACATTGGGATTTCTGTTATAGGAAATAAATTTTTTTGATGCACCATGTAATCAGCGTAGACTGAAAAGTGTAATTTATTTCACACCTGGTTCGTTTTTTGTCTTGAATAACCTCCAGTTTTTGCCGCGTAGTCGCCCTCCTCGTTTTTCCTCACTTGGCATTAGGCTACTCTCTACTCTAGATTTGGTGACAGAACCCCCCGTAATATGTCCTCATCTGCAGAGCGATTAAAGGCAATTCTGTACCAACAGCAAACTCAGTTCGAAGTGGCCCGGATGTGAATGATAGGAAAGCAGATGCGGCAATTCAGCATTAATTCTTCACTTCCAGCTTCGAAAGAGAATACAGCCAAAGCAATTGCAAACAATATCGCGGTGTTTCACCCTGAACCAGATGCTGGGTTGATTTTTGAGTCGTGGTTCAAACGATATGATGGCATTTTCAAAATCAAACTGAAACACAAGGATGATGCATGGCCAGCCAGACTGTGGTTGAGCAAGCTCGATGTTCAAAGTTTATTTAGCCAAGGAACGCCAGGGATCTCACTTTGATGAACCCATCCACTAGCTATCTGAAAATTTTCGTGAGCATTCTTCCTAGTTTAATACTCGATATCAGTGCATGAAACTAGCCAAACAGGAGGACGAAGATTTCATCACCTATGCTGGTATACGCAGTTTCGAGTGTAAACCGTTCAAGCTGTTTACTATGACAGAAGATCAGTTCAGATGCCTGATTTTGATTTGCAGTCTCCAGTCACACTCCGGCAGTGATATCTGGACTGGGTTATT